AAACACTGGTTTCTACCCTCAAGGGTTGGCATCTAGGCCCTCACAGACACCGAAACCCACGATGCTCACGTCCCCTCTATGAAATGGCCCTCAATCAGTGCATACAGCTGGCACTCTGCATCCGAGGACTCACAACTGTGGATTGAAAACAGCCCAGGTTTTTGGCCCTGGCCAGTTTGGCTCAGTGGATAGAGCTCGGCCTGCAGACTGAAGGGTCCTGGGTTCGGTTCCGGTCAAGGGCACGTGTCCGGGTTGCAGGCATACTTTTTATTTCTGAAACAATTTTGCCTGCAGAGGCTTTAGAGGGAAAAAGTAACAACAGCAACAAAACATTAAAAAGCTTCGTTCTTGCATATCAAATTATGACTTCTTTTTTATTCATGTATTTTTATTGATTTCGGAGAGGAAGAGATAGAAACATTCAATGATGAGAGAGAATCTTAGATTGGCTGCCTCCTGCATGCTCCCTGCTGGGGATCCAGCCCGCAAACTAGCCATGTGCCCTTGGCCGGAATCGAACCTGGGACCCTCCAGGCCACTGAGCCAATCCGGACAGGGCTCAAATTATGATGTCTGACCGGTTTTACAGACATATGCCAAAAACCACTTCAAGCATGAATATTCATGTATCTCTGTAAGGCATACACTTCCAGATGGAACCTCGCTTACTCTTTTTAACTTTCTCTTTTGCTTTTCTGAAGAAAGATCACTTCTGAATGTTGTCTTCACCAAAATGGATCTTGAATTTGCATTGATCTCCCAGAATAAAGGTTCAGCAGGAGGTAATTTGTCCATAAAGGACGAGGCAGGAACATTGTTTAAGTACACACTACTAAAATGTTAACGGTTAAGGAAGAAATTGTATCTTGATATATGTATCTGAGGCTCAGCTTTTTTTAAAAAATTAATATCATAACATTTTTAAAAGCTATGATTTAAGAGACGTTTTCTGGGCCTGGGCTCGTGTTGCTAGAATAGGTGTGCTCTGTCTCCTTGTTCATTCTCTTTCTGACATCCATGGCGGTGTTCGTGTCATCTTTGAAGTAAATTTCAGAAAATGCCATTTCTTGAAAGGCCTGTAACAAAAATCATATTCTAGGGACTACTGTAGGGCTTGCTATTGGAGACCCGAACATTTTAGCTAGCCATAAAGGAGAAGTTACTCCAGCTAGATATCCATTTCTTTTCTTTGTTATAAACTCAATAAAAATCTAATAGACTTTATCTAAATTCAATCAAACTACTCACCTCCAGTTACAGAAGGAAAAAATGCTCACCGAATGCTCTAATGGGCAAGATGATGAAAAATACCCCAGAAGGCCGGGACCTGTTTGGCTCAGTGGATAGAGCGTCGGCCTGCGGACTGAAAGGTTCCAGGTTCGATTCCCGTCAAGGGCATGTACATTGGTTGTGGGTCCATCCCTGGTAGGGGGTGTGCAAGAGGCAGCTGGTCGATGTTTCTCTCTCATCGACATTTCTAGCTCTCTCTCTCTCTCTCCCTTCCTCTCTGTAAGAAAAATCAATAAAATATATTTAATTTAAAAAAAAAAGTATTCCCTTTTCACCATGGAAACTTTGGGGCTTATGGGTAGACGTCAAATAATTTGGGGGGAAGAGATTGGATGCTCGTTTCAGCTGATTATATAAAAAATGGATGATGGATAAGTGGGTGTATGTTGTTTTTGGTTTTTTTTAATCAACATCTGTTTCCTATGCGTCGTGCAGTCATAGTTGCTTAGTGTACAATTCGGGCGAGATCGGGGCTGTTTTTAGCAATGCCAGCCCATCAATGGAGGGGAGAGCTGAATGCCATTCTGATTTTGCTTGCTTGCTTGGCTGTCCCAGGAGGCTTTGCGCCTGGGGATGACTCAAGTGGCATTGTCGCTCGAAGACGAGGCCCAGAGCTCCGTCGTTTCATCGGGAGCGGCTCCTATTTTAGGGGCAGCGGCCGCCTGCGAGCTCAGTCATCCAACAGCTGTGAAATCCTGGCGGCGTGGGGTTTTCCACTTCCTCTCCCGGAAAACTAGGAAAAGGGTCATGTGAAATGATTTTATACATTTTTTTTAATTTTTACAAGAAATAAAATATGGGCATTTAGCCTAAACCGGCTTGGCTCGGTAGATAGAGTGTCGGTCTGCAGACTGAAAGGTCCCGGGTTCGATTCCGGTCAAGGGCATGTGCCTTGGTTGCGGGCACAACCCCAGTGGGGGAGGGGGGGTAATGCAGGAGGAGCTGGTCGATGCTTCTCTCTCATCGATGTTCTAGCTCTCTATCCCTCTCCCTTCCTCTCTGTAAAAAGTCAATAAAATATATTTTATTTTTAAATATATATATATATGTATATATACACACACATTCATATATGGGCATTTATTGTGCAGCAAAATTCAGAGATCCTATTGGCATATTTTATTTTTTAATATGTTTTATGATTTTTTTACAGAGAGGAAGGGAGAGGGATAAAGAGTCAGAAACATCGATGAGAGAGAAACATCCATCAGCTGCCTCCTGTACACCTCCCACTGGGGATGTGCCCGCAACCAAGGTACAAGCCCTTGACCGGAACCGAACCTGGGACCCTTCAGTCCGCAGGCCTATGCTCCATCCACTGAGCCACACCAGCCAGGGCTCATCGGTTAATTTTGTTCATTGCAGTCCACATATAAGTGAGATCACGTGACAGCATCTTCATTGAACCATTTGTGGTCCTCCATCCCAAAGCACAGTCTTCTAGATTTTTTCAGAGCATTGAAAACCTAACAGTTAACCCTTCCATCGTGAGGCAGCAGCTGGACCTGTCCAGAGGCACGGGCAGGCCACCGGGCCTCCTGACTGTCAAAAAGAACAGCTTTGGCCGAAGCCGGTGTGGCTCAGTGGATAGAGCGTCAGCCTGCGGACTGAAGGGTCCCAAGTTCGATTCTGGTCAAGGGCATGTACGTTGGTTGCAGGCACATCCCCAGTAGGAGATGTGCAGGAGGTAGCTGATCGATGATTCTCTCTCATCGATGTTTCTAACTCTCTATCCCTCTCTCTTCCTCTCTGTGAAAAATCAATAAAATATATTTTTTTTTTAAATAGAAGAAGAAGAAGAAGGACTTTGCATGCGTTTTTTTTACTTGGATTGCCACGTCTCAGAAGTTCTAATCACCAAAGGGTTTATTCTTCGTGGTGGTGCAGGTGCAGAATAGTCAGGAGGCCCGGTGGCCTGCGTGTCCGAGGGAGGGCAGCCGTGGCGGCGTCCCCGAGGCAGCAGCCGGCACTCTCCCCGCACCCTGCCCTCCCTCTGTGGTCAAGTGGAATAACTCGGTGCACGGAGGCAGCCGGGCACTTTTCAAAGCAAGCGTCTCCTTTTGAAAGGGAATGCCGTTCCGGTGCCGACGACCTGGAATGTTCTGTTCGCAACGCGAGCAGCGGCACCATATTAGGGCACGTCTCCCCTCTTGGCAGCTTGGCACAAGCAGCCGGGGCGGACAAGTCAGATTCTTCTCGCTGTGCAAGTCCGAACGCATCTCACCCCCTCGCAGGACACGTTAGCCTGCGGAGGGTTTGCTGACCGGACGGACGGACGGACAGCACGTCTGAACTGAGCCGAGAACCTGATCGCCACCTTGGGACTTCCCTGCTGGCCTTGGCCTTGGCCCCTGCCTGTGGGTAGGCTGTTCTGCAAGTCTGCTCCGCCACCTAGTGGCGGGCTCCGGTCTTGCTCTGACCAACGTCGCTCCTGTTGGCTTGCTATTCATAGTACAATAGGAATGAATGAGAGCATCTCTTAGCAAAGCATCAAGTTCCAAGAGAGACCCCAACACACGTCCCTTTAAGACTTGTGTCAAACACAAGGCCCGCGGGCCAAATCCGTCCCGCCAGGCCTTGCAATGTGGCCCGCACCGCGCTGTCATCACTGCACTCCGCTGCGTTTCCATCACAATGACAGTTTATGACTGTTCAGTAAACCATTTGGCCAGCGATTTAGGCTGGATTTTAGATTTTGGCCCCTTCTCTGATTGAGTTCGACACCCCTACTTTAAGTCTTACCATGCGGCCTGGAGGGCATGACGCTAAGCGAGATAAGCCAGTCGGAGAGAGATACATATCACGTGATCTCAGTCATTTGTGGATTATAATGGACGACATACACGGATGAACCAGCCCTAACCAGTTTGGCTCAGTGGATAGAGTGCCCATCTGCGCACTCAAGGGTCCCACTTTACAAGAGAGAAAGGGAGAGGGATAGAAAGCTAGAAACATCGATGAGAGAGAAACATCGATCAGCTGCCTCCTGCACACACACACACACCCCCACTGGGGATGTGCCCACCACCAAGGTACATGCCCTTGACTGGAATCAAACCCGGGACCTTCAATCAGGAGGCCGGTGCTCTATCCACTGAGCCACACCGGTTTCGGCAGAAGTTTAATTTTTAAAAATGTGGCTCTCCAAAGAAATGTCAGTCGTTGTGCTGTTGACATTTGGCTCTCTGGACTAATGAGTTTGCCGACCACTGGGCTAGTCCCCTGCCCCACTCCATTCCCACCCGACTCCCCTCTCCCCTTACACAGGCTGTATTCCTTCTGGGACCACTTGTAAGGGGCGAGGATCAGAAGGCTTATAGGGCCGAGACCGGTGTGGCTCAGTGGATAGAGCGTCGGCCTGTGGACTGAAAGGTCCCGGGTTCGATTCCGGTCAAGGGCACGCACCTTGGTTGCGGGCACATCCCCAGTGGGGGGTGTGCAGGAGGTGGCTGATCAGTGTTTCTCATTGATGTTTCTAACTCTCTACCCCTCTCTCTTCCTCTCTGTAAAAAAATCAATAAAAATATATTTTTTTAAAATGAAAAAAAAATTGTTAAAAGAAAAACGTGCCTTACCCAGAAGGCTTTTGGCCTGGGTTCATCATCATTTCATTTGGGTCTCGCCCAGAACTCCTGATTTTTGGGAAGTCACGTGTTCCTTATGAAACGATAACCCTTTTCTCTCTCTCTCTCTCTCTCTTCTCTCCCCAGACTATGTCCGAGAGTCACAATGAACTTGCACAATAACAACACAGTGCTGCCGTTGTTGCCAAACCTCAGCTCTCTCTGGGTGCCGGGATCCCCGGGTGCAGGGCTGCCCCCGGGCACAGCCACCGACCCGGGCGGCTACAACGTGTCTCAGGCCTCGGGGAGTCCCTCTCCCGCCAATGGCACCCTCAGCGACCCCCTGGGCGGCCACGCCCTCTGGCAGGTGGTCCTGATCGCGGCCCTCACCGGGGTCGTCGCCCTGGTGACCATCATCGGCAACATCCTGGTGATCGTGGCGTTCAAGGTCAACAAGCAGCTGAAGACCGTCAACAACTACTTCCTGCTGAGCCTGGCCTGCGCCGACCTGATCATCGGGGTCATCTCCATGAACCTGTTCACCACCTACATCATCATGAACCGCTGGGCGCTGGGCAACCTCGCCTGCGACCTCTGGCTCTCCATCGACTACGTGGCCAGCAACGCCTCCGTCATGAACCTGCTGGTGATCAGCTTCGACCGCTACTTCTCCATCACCCGGCCACTCACCTACCGGGCCAGGAGGACCACCAAGAGGGCCGGCATGATGATCGGCCTGGCCTGGGTCATCTCCTTCGTCCTCTGGGCGCCAGCCATCCTGTTCTGGCAGTACTTCGTGGGCAAGCGCACGGTGCCCCCTGGGGAGTGCTACATCCAGTTCCTCGACGAGCCCACCATCACCTTCGGCACGGCCATCGCCGCCTTCTACATGCCCGTCACCATCATGACCATCCTGTACTGGCGGATCTACAAGGAGACGGAGAAGCGCACCAAGGAGCTGGCCGGGCTGCAGGCCTCGGGCACGGAGGCCGAGGCCGAACACTTTGTGCCCGCCGCCGCCGCCACCACCACCACCACCACGGGCAGCTCCCGAAGCTGCAGCAGCTATGACCTCCAGCAGCAGGGCCCGGGCGCCCGCTCCGGGCGCCGGCGGTGCGGCGCCGGCGGCTGCTGTGACCTCTGGGTGCCCGCCAAGACCTGGGAGCCCAGCGCCCAGCGCGTGGTGGACCAGGACCACAGCAGCAGCGACAGCTGGAACAACAACGACGCAGCCGCCTCCCTGGAGAACTCGGCGTCCTCTGACGAGGAGGAGGAGGAGGAGGAGGACATGGGCTCTGAGACCAGGGCCATCTACTCCATCGTGCTCAAGCTGCCGGGCCATAGCACCCTGCTCAACTCTGCCGCCACCGCTGCGCCCCCGTCCCCGGACAGCCTGCGGGTGCCCGACCCGGAGCTGGGCACGGCGGGCACGGCGGCAGCGGAGAGGAAGGCCGGCAAGCTGCAGGCCCAGAGGAGCGTGGAGGACGGGGCCCGCTTCCCAAAGAGCTTCCCCCCCAAGCTCCCCAGCCGGCTGGAGTCGGCCGCCGACCCGGCCAAGGCCTCCTCCTCCTCCTCCTCCGACGCCAACTCCTCCGTGGGGAGGACCGCGGCCACGGCCACGCTACCTCTGTCCTTCAAGGAGGCCACCCTGGCCAAGAGGTTCGCCCTCAAGACCCGGAGCCAGATCACCAAGCGGAAGCGCATGTCCCTCATCAAGGAGAAGAAGGCGGCCCAGACGCTCAGCGCCATCCTGCTGGCCTTCATCATCACCTGGACGCCCTACAACATCATGGTCCTGGTGAGCACCTTCTGCGACAGCTGCATCCCCAAGACCTACTGGAACCTGGGCTACTGGCTGTGCTACATCAACAGCACCGTGAACCCCGTGTGCTACGCGCTCTGCAACAAGACCTTCCGCACCACCTTCAAGTCGCTGCTGCTCTGCCAGTGCGACCGGCGGCGGCGGCGCCGGCAGCAGTTCCAGCAGCGCCAGTCGGTGACCTTCCACCGCTGTGCGCCCGCGCAGGACCTGTAGCGTGAGCCTGGCGCGTGGCCGTGACCACCTTCTGCGGGTGTGCTCCCGCGCAGGGCGTGTCTGTCGAGTGAGCTTGGTCGATGGCCGTGACCTTCGATGGGTGTGAGCCTGAGCAGAGCAGGGCCTAATACGTGAGCGTGGTCAATGGCCGTGACCTTCTACAGGTGTGAGCCTGAGCATGACTGTAGAGTGAGCTTGGTCAATGGCCGTGACCTTCCATAGGGGTACACCTGAGCATGACTGTAGAGTGAGCTTGGTCAATGGCCGTGACCTTCCATAGGGGTACACCTGAGCATGACTGTAGAGTGAGCTTGGTCAATGGCCGTGACCTTTGATGGGTGTGAGCCTGATCTTGGTCAATGGCCATGACCTTCCACAGGTGTGAGCCTGAGCATGACTATAGAGTGAGCTTGGTCAATGGCCATGACCTTTGATGGGTGTGAGCCTGATCTTGGTCAATGGCCATGACCTTCCACAGGTGTGTGCCCAAGCAGGACCTGTAGAGTGAGCTTGGTCAATGGTCGTGACCTTCCGTGGGTGTGAACCTGAGCAGAGCAGGGCCTAATACGTGAGCATAGTCAATGGCCGTGACCTTCCACAGGTTTGAGCCTGAGCATGACTGTAGAGTGAGCTTGGTCAATGGTCGTGACCATGACCTTCTACAAGTGTGAGCCTGAGCAGGAGCTGTAGAGTGAGCTTGGCCAATGGTCATGACCTTCGATGGGTGTGAGCCTGAGCATGACTGTAGAGTGAGCTTGGTCAATGGTCATGACCTTCGATGGGTGTGAGCCTGAGCATGACTGTAGAGTGAGCTTGGTCAATGGCCATGACCATGACCTTCCACAGGTGTGCACCTGAGCAGGAACTGTAGAGTAAGCTTGGTCAATGTCATGACCAAACACACACACCTGCCCACATGCCTTCAGAGGGTGTCGGTCAGAGGGGAAGCGGGGAGGGGGGGGGGGATCAATTCCTGGTAATAATGTTCTTATCACTCAGATGAGAAAGCTGCCTGTTTACTGAATAACCCATTTTAATACAACAAGTCAAATATCAGCTCAGAAAGGAGAAGAAAAAGAAAGCGTATTGCTGAATATAAGGAACGTGACTCTGAAATAGGCTTCCACGTGTTTTTTTCTTCAAGAGGAGAAATGATCGCTTCATGGCCATTCTGCACCCATGCTTGCGTCTCTTCGTCTCCATGAGTTCTGGAATCTCGGGTGCACACAGCTGGCTACCCTTGAGGCCACGTCCTTGACACGGATCCCAACAGCGTGGACTCGGATTCCGTGGCGCCTCCTTGGCTCTGAGATGGATTCCCTCCGCAGCTTGGCTGCACCTCCTCGCCCCTGTAGAGCTGTCTGTCTCCTCTCCTCGGTGTGTGTTGTGAAACTCTGTGTGTGGACGTGACTTTTGATCCCTGCAAAGTACTGTGTGGTGCAGTCCCCCAGTTTTGTACAAATAAACATATCTATATATCAGTGTATGTATATGTGTGTGTGTGAGTTCCACATACTCAAACACACACACACATCCTGTGTATGAGACAGTGGGGATCCTTGAACTGGCAAGTTGTTCCCACCAGACATGCTTTCAGTAACTGGGTCACTGACGTCCTCCAGACCCTAACTCAACGTCAAGGCGAACCCAACCCAGAGTCCTGTTTTCAAACTCGGGTCTGTTTTACAAAAAGGACCCTCCGCAGATCTGGGCCGAGGGGGTCAGCCTGGGGTCAAGGTCAAGCACCAGGCGGGACTTGGCCGGACTTGAGTGTCATCCATCTCCTCCTTTGATATCCTCAGCAGAGCTCACCCCACTGGGGGCCCCTGCGAGCTCAAACCCTGAACCCCAGTCCCGGGTTCGAATTGAATGGCCCCATGCCAAACGGGTCCCCACCGAGCTGCTGCCACCTGAGGTCCTTCCCGCTCAAGGACCGTGTCACGTGGGAAGGTCATGCCCAGCGGTGTGTGTGTGGGAAAGCATCACGTGAGGGAGGGCGTCATCCGGGTAAAAATGTCCGCCCTTGGTCCCCTCCTGTGTCCTCACCTGGTGGGCGGGGCTTAGGCAGTCAGGTGTCCTCTGCAGAAAGAATGACACTTGGAAAAAGTCAGGTTTCAAATGGATTTTAGGGGGGGGTGGGGAGGGGGGAGTTTTGCATTTTTTAAGATGATTTTTGTATTCTTCTCTGAATTGACCAAAATGTTAAATGTTGTATGTGGGCATGGGGGGCAGGGGTGCCGCTGTGGGTATCATTTCTGTTGCTGCTATCATTGTCGGGGTTGTGTGGGGAGGGGGTGGGGAGGGGAGGGAAGGGGAGGGGGGCGTACAGGCCTCCGTGAGGAGGGGCGGGGCCAAAGCTGCTTCTGTGTCCGTGTGAGCTGATGTTTACAGGTGACTTTTGACGACCCGTTGGGGGGGGTACCTTGTGGCGTCTGTGTTTCTGATCTATTTAATTTTGTGTTCTGTCTCTACGAAGAGCTATTTATGCATCCTTCTCCACACGTCCGTTCATGGCGATCAAGGTGACCCTTCGGTCTTCAGCTGGGGTGCCTTGACAGGGGCTCTCCAAGGCCCCCAAGTCTGGGAAGCGAACTGTGGGTGTCAGCAAGAACCCCACTCGCTCTGGGTAGTCAACGTCAGCTGTCACTTCAACATAAAGGTTTCACTCCGCAGTGACGCTTGGCCGGGACTGGACAGAGCCCTCGTCACCCTTGTGTTTGAAGTCACAGGACAAAGGGAAAGCAGCAAATCAGTGTTATGGAAAGATTTTTTTTGGGGGGGGGGAGGCTGGGGGGGGCGGAACCACATTTAACCAAAGAACAAGAAAAAAACCAGAAACTATTTTCTAACGTGTATAGCCACCCAGGGGATGTTATGTTATTCCCACCCATGAAGTATCTCGTGAGTACCTGCATCTATAGTCCCTGACTCCGGTTGGGCTGGCACTAATAAACATGTGAATGCTGCTCCGTGTCTCCCCGTTCTTCCATGATTTCCATCCGTTTGGGAACTGCCTTTCCTTCAAAGGGCTGTTTCTTGTAGTAAAAAAAAAACACCAAGGTCGACAGTTAGCATTCAATATAAGATTCCATATAAGAAATGGAGAAACCCTGAGCTTTGGGAGAATGGCAAAGGTCCATCGCAATCCCTTTTCTAAACTATGTCTCTGTTGATTTTTTTAAATAGTTTATTGATTTTTTTTTTTTTTTTTTTTTACAGAGAGGAGGGAGAGGGATAGAGCGTTGGAAACATCGATGAGAGAGAAATATCGATTCAGCTGCCTCCTGCACACTCCCCACTGGGGATGTGCCTGCAACCAAGGTCTATGCCCTTGACCAGAATTGAACCTGGGACCTTCCAGTTTGCAGGCCAATGCTCTATTCACTGAGCCACACCAGTCTTGGCTGATGTTTCTCTCTTATCTGATGTTTATAACTTTTCACCCCTCCCCCTTCCTCTCTATTATAAAAAAATCAAAATATATATATATTTTTTTTAATGAATATAGATAACATTTTCCTAAAGGCAGGAAAGTGTTATTTGCTGCCATCTTGCGTGCATACTTGGGAATAACACCGTGGCGGACATCACTACAGATACCCATTTTCTGCGGGCATCTGGCAAAGAACAGCTCAGGGGAGGTCACTCGAGAAAGCTTTTGTCTGCTGCCCTCTAGTGTACATGCCGCCAACGAACTGCAGGTGGAACATCCTTGAAGCTGTAAGCTGAACACCAGCGCAGCCATCCCAGTGTGTGGAAGGACTGGACTGCTGAAGGAAAAGTATCCCACTTAGAAAGGTCTAGTTTAACCAGGAAGAGAAACCGAAAGTGCCTTTCGTGACTTCCTAGCTGGGCACCACACCAGAAGCAACTGCTATAGCAAGAGGCCGCTGCTAACCCCACAGGCAGCTGCCTAACCAGGCCCGATGGCGAGAGCAAGAGCCAGGATCTGGAGAGGCAGGCACAGCAAAGTGGGTCTCCCTTAAATCTGCAAGAGTTGGAAGCAGCCCTAACCGGTTTGGCCCAGTGGATTAGAGTGTCGGCCTGTGGACTCAAGGGTCCCAGGTTCAATTCCAGTCGAGGGCGTGTACCTTGGTTGCGGGCACATCCCCAGTGTGTGTGCGGGAGGCAGCTGATGGATGTTTCTAACTCTCTACCCCTCTTCCTCTCTGCAAAAAAAAAACAATAAAAATATTTTTTTTTAAAGAGTTGGAAGCGGAGGCAGAGAGACCCCTGCCCAGCCCCACCCTGACCGATGGGCAGGGAGCCCATACCCACTGAGGCCTCCGGTCATGCACCCAACACACTCTGGGTATAGATCGTCCTGCTATTAGGACCTTTGTTTTAATTAAACCCAGACATCATTCCCTATCATGATGACCTCTGGTTCATGATTTGCCTTAGTATACGTGTATGGTAAGAGGGAACATGGCCCCTTGGGCAAAATCTCCATTCTGCCTTGAGACCAGTAGGGGGGCGTAGGGAGCAGAGCGGGTGTTTGGCTAAGGGGTGAGGAGAGAACTGGAGACCAATATTTATCCCCTTTGCACACACCTTTGAGGGGGCCATGAGTCAATGGGCGAGGAGAGACATGCAGGTACATTCTCCCTCCCTCCTTCAGCCTGCTGGGAAGGGCACAGTGGTGGTTGGGGTCTGTGGCCAGGAAGGACCTTGAGCACAATTCTGTATCAGGGCTCTAGCCAGCGTGTGTGGTTATAGCAGCTGCCTGGCAGAAGGAGAAAGATCTGGAGCCGAATTTCCCCTCCCTGTGTTAGCCAGGATGTGATGGGAAGGAGGACATGGAGATAGGAGGAAAGGGGACACAAAGGCCAGCAGAGACCTTGAGATGAGCTATGTGCCCCGACTCCAGCCCAGCATCATCGGGTGGGCAGCTGGCGCCTGCGGAAACGGGCCAAGAGCGGCCCGGATGCCATCTCTCCACCATGAGAAGTAGAGGAGGTGCCTGAGATAAGGGAGGAGCTCCAGGGAGTGCTTGAGGGGATGCCTGGCTAGCGGGCACGTTGGCAGCTGGAGTCTGTGGGCGCTTTGACCAGCTGTGTTCAAGTCAGCGCTTCCCCAAAATCCATTACCTGGGGGGCACCCTCCTGGGTTCCAGTTGGACCCCTTCTTGAGATTATTAATACTTCCTCTGGACAGGATTCAGAAGATCATTACTTGCAAATATACACATTTTAAAAAAAATTATATATATATATATATATATATATATATATATATATATATATATATATATATATAAAACCGCCCTAACAGGTGTGGCTCAGTGGATAGAGCGTCAGCCTGTGGACTGAAGGGTCCCAGGTTCGATTCTGGTCAAGGGCATGTACCTTGGTTGCAGGTACATCCCCAGTAGGAGGTGTGCAGGAAGCAGCTGATTGATGTTTCCTTTCTTTTCTTTTTTTTATATATTTTATTGATTTTTCACAGAGAGGAAGAGAGAGGGACAGAGTTAGAAACATCAATGAGAGAGAAATATCGATCAGCTGCCTCTTGCACACCCCCTACTGGAGATGTGCCGGAAACCAAGGCACACGCCCTTGACCGGAATCGAACCTGGGACCCTTCAGTCTGCAGGCTGACGCTCTATCCACTGAGCCACACCGGTTTGGGCTGATCGATGTTTCTAACTCTCTATCCCTCTCCCTTTCTTTCTGTAAAAAAAAATTAATAAAACATATTTAAAATATATATTGATTTATAGAGAGAGAGGGAGAGATTGATCAGCTGCTCTAAGTCTCCTCCCCGCACAGACAGCAGGCCCCGCCCCCAGCCCCGCCCCGCAGACCCCGGGCCGCCATTCCGGTGGCGCCACGGAGGGCGCAGCCCCGCCTCCGGAGGAACCGGGCCGGGAGGGCGGGCCGGGCACCCGGACTCGGTTCCCGACCGGCCCTAAGGGCCTAGGGGGGGGCGTGGCGCGTGGCGGCGCCGGCCGCCGGCTGCTCGGGGCCTGAGGGGCGGGGCCTGAGGGGCGGGGCCTCGGGACTTCCGCCCCTTTCTCCGGAGCTGGCTCGGCACCGGAAGTTCCGGTGTCGGCCAGCCGGGGTGAGAGGTCAGCAGGAAGTCGATACGTGGCCGCCGCCTGTCCCCGCCGAGGAGGCGCAGCAGCCCGGAGATGGCGGCGGTGCTGAGCGCGGAGCGCCTGGAGGTGTCGGTGGACGGCCTGACGCTGAGCCCCGACCCGGAGGAGCGGCCGGGCGCGGAGGGCGCCCCGCTGCTGCCGCCGCCGCGGCCGCCGCCCTCGCCGCCCGGGGCCGGCCGGGGCCCGAGCGCCGCGGGGAGGCAGCCGGAGCCCGGGGCGGCGGCGGGGGGCGCGGCGGAGGAGGCGCGGCGCCTGGAGCAGCGCTGGGGCTTCGGGCTGGAGGAGCTGTACGGCCTGGCGCTGCGCTTCTTCAAAGGTGAGCCAGCGGGGCTCCGTCCTTGGGGCTCCCGAACTTCGTCCCTCCCCGCGGGGCCGCTGGGTCACCCCGGGTTCGCTGTCCGAGGGCCGCCTCCCCCCGGTGACCGGGCATGTCCCCTGGTTTATTTAGCTTCTCGGGTTTCCGGGAGCTGGGAGGGAAGCATGATCCTCTCTCCCAGAGGATCCCGTCCTGGAATTCACTTATTTTATTATTATTGTTATTATTATTATTACTATTGTTACTGTTTTCTGTTTTACCGTCGCATTTCTTTTTTTATGTATAAAGAGTACATGAACTTTTTTTTAATATATTTTATTGATTTTTTTTACAGATAGGAAGAGAGAGTTAGAAACATGGATGAGAGAGAATCATTGATCAGCTGCCTCTTGCACAGCCCCCACTGGGGATGAGCCCGCAACCAAGGTACATGCCCTTGACCGGAATCGAACCTGGGACCTTTCAGTCCGCAGGCCGATGCTCTATCCACTGAGCAACACCGGTTTCGGCGTACCGTCTCATTTCTTCTGTCTCTTTGGCGTGGCACATCACACCCCACCTATCTGCACCCTTCTCCCCTGCACCCTTCTCCCCTGTACCCTTCTCCCGTGGTGGAAGGAGGCCCTCCATTGGGTGCCGCACACCCTTTCCCCCCAGGGGGGGTGGGCCACACGCTCTAGCAGGATTCGATCTCCTGGCGTTTGATCATCCGTGGCCGAGAGGAGGGAAGCGTTCAGCCAGCACGTCCCCTCCTCTGGCAGGTCAGACTCCCAAGAGAGAGGATGCTCGCTCTGCCCTGGGAACTTCTAGAAGGTTAAAATGTTACCCCCTTAAAGCAGTGTGCCAAGAGTGGATTCTCAAGAGTTAGGTTGAAAGGGGCCCCCCCCTCCCCTTCGCACCCCACTCTACCCCGTGCTTCTCACAGAATTGTGAAATGTCTCGTCTTGGAGCGAGATTGTGGTGTGTGTGTGCGTGTGTGTGTGTGTTTTCATTGGGTGATTCACTGAGTCGAACGGTGGTGATGCCAGTCACATGAGCTTGTCGGTGGGGAAAACGATTGGGAAGCCCGTTAGTCTGATTTCGAGATAGTTCGACTATCTCGTGGGCACGGAGAGTTATCAGCAAACGAAGCTTGAAAAGTGGTTGCTAGGGCCGAAACCGGTGTGGCTCAGTGGATAGAGCGCCGGCCTGCGGACTGAAGCGTCCCAGGTTCGATTCCGGTCAAGGGCATGCACCTGGGTTGCGGGCACGTCGATGTTTCTCTCTCATCGACATTTCTAGCTCTCTATCCCTCTCCCTTCGTCTCTGTAAAAAATCAATAAAACATATATTTTAAAAAAAGAAAAGTGGCTGCTAGGATCCCCACACATTCCAGAGCAGCGTACTGGAACCCTTTCCCCGAGGCGTACCTTCTGGAATACATGTTTCACTCAACTTCCAGCTGAAGGGGAGCAGCTCGGCGTAGCGGTGCATGCATGCAAAAGTTACTGGCTTTCTCTCAGAACTGTTTTAATTGTGCAAACTAATGAAAGTCTCTATCTCTCGCGTAAGTTTTTCCAGAACAGTTGATCATTCCACACTCATTGCACTTTTTGTTAAGAAGTTTACCCTTGAAATACTCGTCATCGTTTGCACAATGAATCAGGCCTTGGATTTTTTATCTCTTGGCCCATGAATGTAGAGTTTCCTGTAGTAATGATACATTCTCACATATATGAAATTCCGATGGTTTTGTTACAATTATGAGTAACTACATCTTACCTTAAGTTTTTATTCGTAGAATGTAATTTTCCAGATTCAGTAAGGTTAAAACAGTGGTCGGCAAAGTGTGGCTCTCCCACAAAATACCACGGCCTGGGCGAGTTTATGTTGAAGAGGTGGCATTAGAAGAAGTTGGAAGTTTAAAAAATTTGGCACTCAAAAGAAATGTCCATCGTTGTCCTGTTGATATTTGACTCTGTGGACTGATGAGTTTGCCTACCACCGGGTTAAAGTATATTGTAGCGGCAGTGTGTAAGAATAGAAAAGAACCAACTTCTAATCCTAGCTTTCGCCACTTGACTGAGCGTGTCTTAATTTGAGAGAGGTAGTAATATCGTCTTTGAAAGATTGAAACACAGCAATGTGCAGTAAACTTAGCATTGCTTTGGAGTCAGGAAGCCTTGGGTTCCATTTACTGTGTAAATTCCTAGACAGTTGACTTTTCTAGACTCCATTTCCATCATTTATATAGAGGGAGCTGGCTTTGCTGTCTCGGATTTAAGATTTAGTGGTCTAAACCTAAGGTTATTTTGCCGAGAACTAGGACTCCGAGGGGAACCTATCATTTGTGGCCCTAGTTATCAGTCACCTTAAAGGGAAAGGCCTACCCTGATAGGAATGGTTCACTCCCTAAGTCAGGCTTTCAGTGCAGTACCCAATACTTACTAGGAGACTAGCAGCTAGCAATCAAAACTCCCTTCTGCCTGAAGCCTTACCTACCGTGTTTCCCCGAAAATAAGACCTAGCGCATGGAAATATAAGACATCCCCTGAAAATAAGACCCAGCGCAACTTTGGGAGAAAAAATTAATATAAGACACTGCCTTATTGTCGGGGAAACAGGGTAGTTAGCAATGAAGAGGCCATCAGGATAGGATGCTGATCGATGATTCTCTCTCATCGATGTTTCTAACTCTCTATCCCTCTCTCTTCCTCTCTGTAAAAAAATCAATAAAATATATATATTTTTTAAAGTGCAGATAAATGCAAGTTAGCATTTCCCCAGTCTTCCTCAGTGCAGACCGCGGGGACCCCTCTCGCGGACAGAGGTTTGTGTTAGCTTTCCACTGTAGATGAATAGCGCATTCCCCTTGGCCGTGAGGAATGTAGAGGCCAAAGGAGGAGTTAAAGACCCAGACAGCTGCAGCGCGGGGGGATCGGGAGCAAATGCCATTCCAGAGCTGGGGGCGGGGGGCAGGCCTGAGTGGCCGGGCAGTGGCCGGAGGAAGTGGTGGGATGGAGAGAGCGGAGAGCGGGAAGGTAAGCTGTCAGGTCTGAGGACCGGTTGGAATGCATTGCAAAGAGCTTTTCGTTAGTCCGCAGGAGGCTCGGTGACCGTTTTACATGGAGGAACCAAGTGTTAGCAAGATGAGCTGGTTACCTACTAGACCGGCTGGCTTCATTGTAGCATTCGTACTTTTTGGATAGCGTTAGCTTGGGGAGTTGTATTTGGTTTCCAGAGTTCTTAGGGGTGAGTGTTTCCTTCTGTACACTTCATTGACCTCATTGCATTAAGCTGGTAGGTGGTGGCATTGATTTAAAATTCCAGAGCAATAAGTGCCACCAGTTACTGAGCAGATGTTCACTGAGAGTGTGGACACACTCACTTTCTGGAGATTCGCTTCAGATAGCTGGAAAAGTCAAGTGTGAGAAAAGCATCTGCTCTGCATTCCTACATAACTAACTGCTGTCAGGTTTGAAATGTTGATTGTAGTGGCGGTAATCCGCTCCGAAGGACTGAAGTAAATGTGCCCATCAAAAATACTGGTGTTGCCGGGACCGGTTTGGCTCAACGGATAGAGCATCGGCCTGTGGACTGAAAGGTCCCGGGTTCGATTCCATTCAAGGGCATGTACCTTGGTTGCGGGCACATCCCCGGTAGGGGGTGTGCAAGAGGCAGCTGATCGATGACTCTCTCTCATCGATGTTTCTAACTCTCTATCTTTCTCCCTTCCTCTCTGTATAAAATCAATAAAATATATTTTTTTTAAAAATACTGGTGTTAATAGTCTATTCCTATTAATATAATAATAAACCTTTCAGGAAGCTTGCATTTAGCTAACCTAATGATTGTTCACTCGTATAAATTGAAAATGGATATGTTTTAATTCATTAGGGGTTGAAAAATGATGATATTCTGCCGAAACCGGTTTGGCTCAATGGATAGAACGTCGGCTTGGGGACTGAAAGGTCCCGGGTTCGATTCTGGTCAAGGGCATGTACCTTGGTTGCGGGCACATCCCCAGTAGGGGGTGTGCAAGAGGCAGCTGATGGATGACTCTCTCTCATCGATGTTTCTAACTCTCTATCTCTCTCCCTTCCTCTCTGTACAAAATCAAAATCATGATATTCTAATTGTCTTTCCTTCACTGTAATGCTTTTCCTCGTGTACTAGTTGGTGTGGGGTGCAGTTCAAATAGGAAAGGAAAGGAAATGCTTCTGCCTCTTTATTTTCTTTCTAAATAATGCGCGTCCCTAACCTCAAAAGGTGACTCTTTTTTTAGTATACTTTTATTGATTTCAGAAAGGGGGGGGGGGGGGAGACACATCAGTAATGGGAGAGAATCATGGATCGGCTGCCTCCTGCACACCCCCTTCTAGGGATCAAGCCCACAGCCCAGGCCTGTGCCCTGACTGGAATCAAACCATTCTAGGAAGAGCTGCTGTTTAGCCATTGACTGCAGAACCCACAACCTAGGTTTATGCCCTGACCGAGAATTGAACCCACAACCTTTCGGTGTATCAGACAAGGTCCCAGCCACTGAGCACATGGCCAGGGCTTTTGTGGCTTTCTGAGGTCTGGTCTGTTAGATGGGTTTTATTTAATGCTGAGGACTAGGGAATAAAGAAGTGAAAATTGCAGCTATCCAGTGACGGGACAGTGAATCACTACCAGGAGGAAGTGTTCGAGCACGGGTTAGTAATTACCGGGTGGACACGCTTTGATTGCTTTTGTGCATCTACCACAGGTTTTTCCTTTGTGGTTACCATGAGGCTTATATGAAATAGTTTATAGTTCTAGTCTAAGCACATAACTTCCACAGCAGACAGAAACTCCACACTTTTCTCTCTCCCTAGCATTTTAGGTTATTGATGTTACAATCTACATCTTTTTTATACCGCATAGATAGTAACAAATTAAGGTAGATATGTAGGGCAGATTTGAGCTTTGGTTGTGCAATTCAGTCACCTGTCTTTAATTTCCCTCCCAACCCGTATATTTTATGGCTTTCATTTCATCAAGTAAAAGCTAGACAGGGCATAGAAATAATTTGTTGCATCCTTTACCTTTACCTCCAGACAGAAGGGAAAATATGATTTCTCGTAAATGTACTCTAGCAATTGAGGTGTGAGACTAATAACCTTGTGTCTGATTAATTTCAGGTGTAAGGGACTTAATTTTAATCTTTCAGACCTTAGGGCTTGGTAACAATGATTATAAAGCTGCTATCAAGTTACTTATGCTGTCTTATTAGAACTTAAAGTCAAGTACTTATGAATTAATAGGAACACGATCTAGAAGCCATTTCTATTTTTAATTGCTTGGGAAAACGTGTTTTGTGTATTGTATTGGTTTCCTATTGCTCCTGTCACAAATTACCAAAAATTCGTGTCATAAAACAACTCCTGACTTAGAGTTTTGGTGTCAGAAGTTCAAAATAGGTCTCGCTGGTTAAAGGGGGGCGGTCGGCAGAGCTGTGTTCCTTGAGGCGCTGGGAAAGCAGCTGTTGTATGGCTCCCTCTGGCCTCTCTGAGGGAAGTAAGATGGGTAACAGCTTAGGTCTCCTCCCTCAGGCCCTTCTTTCTCTCCTTCCATTGATAAGGACCTTGTGATTACATTGGGCCAAGGCGGGGAAAGTCCAGGGTCAGGCAGTTAGTGGCAACCTTAATTCCCCATTTTCATATAATCAAACATATTCACGGAATTGGGATTGGGGTGTAGACATCCGGGGATGGGGGTGGGGAGGGCTATTATTATGCCTACCACTTGTCATAAAGCCTTCCTGTTCCTGGACCACAGAATCCTCATCAGTTTCCAGGCATGCTCTCAGGGGCGTGGCTCCTCTGATTGGTCAGTGTAGGGCAGGGGTCCTTGGGTATTGCAGCTGGTCCTGGCATTGCCCGCCGGTGTTACTGCTTTTCTTCCGTCCTGGAGGTGAAATACAGCCAGGCTCTGGGCAGGTGGCCCCTGTATCTGGCTGTCAATTGCTCTGCCGATTTGCTCAGCAATCTGTCTCAGTTTCCCTATCCCACTGGCCTAGTTTACTGGCCTTATGAATAGACTATTGACATTTAGCATATTAACTCATTTGACCTTTTTACCAAGTGGAACCAAAGCAATTTACAAAGGTCAGGTTTATAAAGGAAGGAAGAGGATCAAATAGTTATTACTCTTGCCAAAACCAGTTTGGCTCAGTGGATAGAGCGTCGGCCTGTGGACTGAAAGGTCCCAGGTTCAATTCCAGTCAAGGGCATGTTCCTTGGTTGTGGGCTCATCCCCAGTAGGGGGTATGCAGGAGGCAGCTGATCGATGTTTCTCTCTCGTCGATGTTTCTAACTCTTTATCCCTCTTCCTTCCTCTCTGTGAAAAATCAATAAAATATATTTTAAAAAATAGTCATTACTCTTGGTGTATCAGGACAATGCTCTAACCAACTGAAATACCCGGCCAGGTAATAATATCTATTACCTCTGAAGTTGCATTGGACCCCTTACTTTATTGTTGAGTCAGAGAGGTTAAACATCCTACAGCTAAGAAGTGTCTGAGACGAGATTTAAATCTAGGCTGTCGCCTACCACATCATATTGCATCAGTGGGGTACAAACGGTTGAATATAGCCTTTCAAAGTACATGTATGGTCATATTGAAAATGGTTGATACAAAATTATTTTTAAACCTTTTAAAGAATGATTGTTGAACGACTTTAATAAGTATAAAAGATGTCAGTGGTACACTTATATCTGTGTGCCTGACTATAGCTTAACAGACTGGTTTCTCTGGAGTAGTTTTAACATAAATATTGGTACTTGGCTTCATTGTTTTAAAATTCTGCATAAAGGTTGTTAAAATTTAGTATTTGAAAAAAGCCTCACTATAATAGTGTTTCTATCTATCATAGGCACTTGGGACATACCTATAGCAACACTTCAGCATACAGCTGAAAATTGTGTATTTTTCCAGTGCTAATTATTTCCTTTGTGGGTTTTCTTTTTCTTTTTTCTTACAGAAAAAGATGGCAAAGCATTTCATCCAACTTATGAAGAAAAGCTGAAGCTTGTGGCACTGCATAAGCAGGTTCTTTTGGGCCCGTATAATCCGGACACTTGTCCTGAGGTCGGATTCTTTGACGTGCTGGGGAACGACAGGAGGTAACGGTGTTCCGTTGTATAACTAATTTAACGAGAATAGTGTTGAAAACGGTGCACAGTGAATTGGTTAAGATGTAAATAGCTGGTTCACTAGCTTAGCACTGAAACAAACATTTTTGCTTGCAGCTTCTGGAGTCTTCAGATGTTTACCTCTTTTTGGCTTGGAGGTGTTTATGGCTAAATATTGTGGAAGAAGCTTACTCATCTGATTATGAACATAAGACAAGTACAGCTTCGTTTGATTCTTCCTAATAATGATAAAAGCTGCCACTGAAAATATGTGTAATTGATTTCCTTATCGGAACATATAGAGAGCTGTGACAAAAAGGAATACATAGACTATTCAGTTAAGGCTAAAATATAAGTAAAACTCAGATACGCTTTTGCTCGTACAGAAATGATCAACAGTGCAGTTAAGTTGTAGTTTAAAAAGTAAGTTTGGATTGTAATGTAGTAAATCAGTACATGCTTGTTGAATCTGGAAGTCCCGCACCTTTTGTGTATAATAGAATTATTCTTCGTTTTCGTTGTGATTGAGAATTGTTCATGTTGAAAGTCCCGTTCAATGGAGTTCTCATCCTCTCAAGAAGAGGAGGTGACTTTTCCCGTTATTCCTTCCAGGAGAGAGTGGGCGGCGCTGGGAAACATGTCCAGAGAGGACGCCATGGTGGAGTTTGTCAAGCTCCTGAACAGGTGCTGCCACCTCTTCTCCACGTACGTCACCTCCCACAGGATCGAGAAGGAAGAGCAAGAGAAGAAGAGGTGAGCTGAGTGCGCGGAGTGTTCCAGCTCAGGTGTCCGGCTGCATCTGGCTGCAGTGAGGGCACTTGGCAGGCTTCCTGGTGTGGGGCCTCTGCCCGTCTGGCTGGACCTGTAATGGGAACGGCCTGTCCCCCGGGCAGCAGTCCTTCTGCCATTACACCGGATTTCTGAGCAGGCCCATAAACTCAGCCACCCCTCCTCCTGAGCCTCTGCTCTGACACACCTTTGCGGCTCTCTCCCTTGTTTCTAGAATATTCGTACGCCGTATGTAAAATGTGTTGGCTGCTTGCTCTTTCCAGCCCATGCTAAGCCCTGAGAACATAGCAGTGTGAGCGAGGCTGTCTCTGCCCTTAGGCAGCATGTTCCTTCATGGGTCAGGCAGGTGTGTAGTGCTGAATCTGTCACACAACTTTAATTGCGATTGCAGGAGTAGTCTGCAGGAAAAGCTGGTGGTGCTGTGAGCATATATTAGAGGGGAGCCTCAGGGCGTGGGTAGGCACATCATGATTTGAGTAGTGTCTTAATGATGGGTGCCTTTTCCTATTGCTGCTCAGCAGTAATTATTCTCGCTGAGATCGTGTATGTTGTGTGGTTGATTCTGTATGTTAAGTGTATGCATTTCGGATCTTGGGATGTGTGGCTTTCTGAAAAGGTTCTGTCCGTGTTCACGGTGAAATGAAGTCTGAAGTTGCTTTATACAGGGGATTTTTTGTCGAGGACTCATTCTCTGTCTCCTGCACTTGGTAGGAAGGAGGAGGAGGAGCGCAGGCGGCGAGAAGAGGAGGAAAGAGAACGGCTGCAGAAGGAGGAAGAGAAACGCCGGAAGGAAGAGGAGGAGAGGCTCAGGAGGGAGGACGAAGACAGGCGGCGGCTGGAGGAGGAGAGGCTGCGGCTGGAGCAGCAGAAGTAAGCTGGCTGTGCGCTCCGTGGGAGGGAGAGAATCGGACGGTCTCGCTGCTGTGGCCGGACCGTCGGCCAGAGTGCCCGGGGTCGTTCTGCCTCGGCGGCTGGGAGCTGCACCAGCGTTAGCTACTTGGCATTTGTGCTGGCGATCTGCTGCCAGAGAGGGCCTCGTTGTAAGCGGCGTTTGGCTGCGAGAGGAGTGAAGAGGCTGAAAGGGCTTGGGATTCACTCCGGAGCCCAGGGCTGAGGAGCCGAGGAGCCCAGGTGGCTGGCTTGCTCCTGTTGCTCCCTGCCCGAGTCCACGTGATCTCTCGTCTTTGGTGTCTCTCTCCCAACCTTCCTGTTCTCTGCAAACCGTCGCTGTCTGCTTTGGCACCACAGGCCAGGCCAGCCTGGATTTAGGGGGTTTTGTTTTCATGCATCTGCTAGAGAGAGGCTGGCCGGAACCGGAGAGACCCAGTTCCGCGTTCCCGGGCCAGGGAATGGGGCTGTTTTAGCCCCTGCAGTGTCCTCCGGCACCGGGCTGGGAGCTGAGACGTTCTGAGTAAGGGCTGGGGGCGAGGCTGTCTCAGAAGCCGCTGCTCTGCAGGGAGCACCGGGCACAGGAGGAAGGACTGACCCCCACAGGGCACCGGGAAGAAGGCCAGGGTCCTGCAGGTGGCGGGGCGGATGGCTTAAGCCAAAGGACACGGGAGCCCCAGATTGCTCCTCATTGGTGCTGAGTCGTCCCTCAGAAAAGCGCCGGTCAGCCAGGGCCGCCTCCTGCTTTGCAGAGAGACGATGGCTACTGCTCTGGAGGGGCCCGCCATTGGCTGCTGGGGACGACAGTCCGTCCTCCAGCATCGTGGGCAGAGGCTGGAGCCAGGCTGCCTAGTCCTCCGCGCCGGCTCTGGCGCCTGCCAGCAGGGTAACCTGGGGCAAGTTACTGCCGCCTCCGTTTCCCCTTCTGTGAAGCCCTCACCCGGGGGCAATGCTAAGGCCTGCCGGCTCAGTCCAGGGGAGGGCCTTGAACTCTGCCTGGTACATAGGAAGGCACATAACCATTAATCATCATGCTGCTGATGATGATGTGTTTATTATTATTCTCTCCCTTGATCCCAGATTTTCCTTGGAAACCTAAGTAAAAAATAGAGAGCATGCTTATTTTCTTAAATTGCTTCTGGGCCTGGGTCACATGCTGATTGGTATACATACTAGCTGAGTCGTTTTGAAGAGGTGTAAATTATAAAACTAAGTAACAAGGGCATTTTATTTTGTCATGACCGATCCCCCGTGGCCAGACCGGTGTGTATTTTTTGATGTTTTCAGGCAGCAGATAATGGCGGCTCTGAACTCGCAGACCGCCGTGCAGTTCCAGCAGTACGCCGCCCAGCAGTACCCGGGCAACTACGAGCAGCAGCAGATCCTGATCCGCCAGCTGCAGGAGCAGCACTACCAGCAGTACATGCAGCAGCTGTACCAGGTGCAGCTCGCACAGCAGCAGGTAAGCGACCGCTCAGCCTGCGGCCTCGGGGTCGTCCAGTCTCACTGGAACCCTGTTCGTGTTTAGCAGTCACTAATGGATTTTGCATTGGCCTCCAGGAGAAAGGAACTTTTAGGTGACCTTTATTAAGGGAGACTTTCATGTTCCATTGGCAATTATGAAAGAAAATATAATCCTCAGCAACAGGTAGTTTGGCCGCTGTTACATTGACCGAGGTGTGTGTGGGAGTTGTGAGGACCGAGTGTCATTCCAGTGAGTCTACGTAGATTCCAGTAGTGGTCCCAGAACCAGCAGGACTTGGTAACTGGCATTAGTTCAAGGATGCCCGTCGGGCAGTTTGCTGCCATAGGCCTGGGCAGCCTCCAGGGGGAGGACCCGGCCCTAAGGCTATTGGCTGGGCCATCTTGGCTTTTGTGTAAGTACAGTGGCGAGACGGCGCTCCCCGAGGACACATGTGGTGTTAAAACACAGGTCAGAATGCATTCTAGGCCGGGACCGGTTTGGCTCAATGGATAGAGCGTCGGCTTGGGAACTGAAGGGCCCCAGGTTTGATTCCTGTCAAGGGCATGTACCTTGGTTGCGGGCATATCCCCAGTAGGGGGTGTGCAAGAAGCAGCTGATCGATGACTCTCTCCCATGGATGTTTCTAACTCTCTATCTCTCTCCCTTCCTCTCTGTACAAAAATCAATAAAATATTTTTTTTTTTTTTTTTAAAGAATGCATTCCAGGGCAAGTGTCTCCTTTATTGGCCTTCCTGGTCAGCGTCTCTTTGCTTTTCTCGACTTGCAGGCAGCATTACAGAAGCAGCAAGAGGTAGCAGTAGCTCCTTCGCCGACATCCTCGAAGATGAATGCAGCTGGACCCAGCGACATGATGTCAGTCAATGGACAGGCCAAAACCCACACTGACGGCTCCGAGAAAGAGCTGGAGCCCGAAGCCGCCGAAGAAGCGCTGGAGAACGGACCAAAAGGTACCGCATCCACATGACCGCAGCCAGACACCACGACAAGCACAGTCGGGAGGTCAGGCTCACTGGCACCTGAGAGCAAGTACATGTCTGCACGCGCTGCATGCATTTTCACTGCTCATTAGTCTGCACCTGTGCTTCCGGTGACCCGTAGGAGAATAGTGTGGAGGGCCAATCAGATCTATTCTCATTCTGTATATTGATTATCAGATGCCGGGTGACCAATCACACCCAAATTCAGCAGCTTAAAATCCGAATAAACGTGTCACCTCATGCACTTTGTGTGGGTCCGCTGAGTGTGGTGGGCCTGGTCCCTCCCGAGGTTGGAGTTGAGGTTCAAATCCTGTGAAGCTTGACCAGGACTAGAAGCTCTGCTTCCAAAATGGCACCCTCGCTGATGGGCAAGGTCAAGTTGGCCGCAGCCCAGGTCTCAGTTCCTGCCTGAGAGCCTCCGGAGCTGCCTGGAGGTGCGCAGAGCTGGCGCGGCAGTGTCTCAGGCCCTGGCTCTGGGACTGACACCACGTTTCCCTGCGTTCTCTGGGCCCGGAGACCACCTGCCAGGTTTCGGATGGTGACCTCACCAGGGCGTGGACACCCCGAGGCAAAGTGATGGCGGCCATCCAGGAGGCTGGCCCCCGTACACCCCGGGATCTCTTTTGAGACGGAAGGGCCCTGTTAGCCAGAAGATAACGTAGCACTTTCAAGGTCTCCTGGCTCTCTATGGGCATCTTGTCCACTCAGTCAGCAGTTGGTTGAAGACTCCCTGTGGGTCAGGAGCACAGGGCTGGGGCGCCCGCACACACACGTGTAAATTGTGGCTGTTTGGCGCTGTGCTGGAGGGGGGTTTGTTAGAGTTTGAGCGCATGTGACATGGGGGCGTGGCCCAGGCAGAGAGGTCACCAGAGCTTTCCTGGGGAAGGGACCATTGAGCTGAGAAATCTGAAGCAAGAGCAGCATCAGCCCTTTAAGAGGGAGAGGAGCACTCGGCACGTGATCTAGGATGGCAGGTTCAGAGATCTTGTCTTGTAGAATAAGTAACGGGAAATGGTGTGAGAACAGACTGAAATGCTGTAGCTTACACCCCCCTCCCTTTTTCCCCCCCTATTAACAGTATATCAATGTTTTTAAATGAATCTTGGTCGGAAGCTCTGTGATGAACTCAGGGAAACCAGTGCGTGTAGAGACTGCTCAGCAGCAAGCCTTGCCTCCTCTTCACTGAGACCCTGGCAGTTCCACTTCGGCCCAAGTTTCTCTTTCTCCGAGTTCCCTGAGGATAACTTCTAGGATTCCGAGATACATCCCTTCAAAAGTGAATTTATTTCTAAGCTCGGATCCTTCTTTTCTAAGTCCAGATCTTTCTTCTTGGTTATGGATAGGCTAAAAACTGATAAAGGCCCAGCTAGGAAGTTCCCATGGTTCTTTCTAAATCCCCATATGTAATTAGCGTGTTGGGGGAAATCACGTGTAAGATGACGGATCACGTGTCTTATGGAAGCGGTGTGCTGGCCTCTGGGTGCCTGTGCCATTGTGCAGTGAAGTGACGGGAGACCTCCACCCACGTAGACGGTGTGCCCGTGGTGCCTGCGTGCGGCCGGGCGGCTGCAGGAGGCTCCGCCCTGTAGCTGTTGTAATCTCTGTTGTCTCCAGACTCTCTTCCAGTAATAGCAGCTCCCTCCATGTGGACGCGCCCCCAGATCAAAGACTTTAAAGAGAAGATCCGGCAGGATGCGGACTCCGTGATCACGGTGGGCCGAGGAGAGGTGGTCACGGTCCGTGTGCCCACCCACGAAGAAGGATCGTATCTCTTTTGGGAATTTGCGACAGACAGTTACGACATTGGGTTTGGGGTGTATTTTGAATGGACAGACTCGCCGAACACGGCCGTCAGCGTGCATGTCAGTGAATCCAGCGACGACGAGGAGGAGGAAGAAGGTAGAGCCATTGGTCCATACTCAGTAGCTGCCGGGTTGTGGGCTGGCAGGGGGGCAGCGGACCACTCCCTGCAGCGGTGGGACCTTGGCTGGGAAGGTGGTGAGGGCAGGGCAGCTCCAGTGGGGACTGGTACCTGAACCAGGTTTTCTGCTTTCTGGGTAGTATTTGGCTTCCAGCCTTGTGTGTGTGACAACTAATGTGCATCAATCAGCTGCCTCCTGCGCACTCCCCACTGGGGATCGAACCCACAACCCAGGCGTATGCCCTTGGCCAGACTCAAACCCGGGACCCTTCAGTCATGCTCTGCTCACTGAGCCAAACCATCCAGGGCAATCAGCGGTTTTCCCGGATCTGTTCGTGACTTGTCTCTCTCCTTTCTCACAGAAAACATCACTTCTGAAGAGAAGGCCAAAAAGAACGCCAACAAGCCGGTGCTGGATGAGATTGTGCCTGTGTACCGGCGGGACTGTCACGAGGAGGTGTACGCCGGCAGCCACCAGTACCCAGGGAGAGGAGTCTACCTCCTCAAGTTCGACAACTCCTACTCTCTGTGGAGGTCCAAGTCCGTCTACTACAGAGTCTACTATACGAGATAAAGATGTCGCTGCAGAGTCTGGAGTCTGGGGTTGGGCCGAAGATGGTATTTAGTTGGGAAGTTGCTTTGGACTTTGGTGGAGCATTGCAGTCGGTGTGTGCCCGTTGGTTGTGGTCTGATGGTCTGTGAACTCTCGTTGGGGATCAGGACTTCCTGGAGACTCTTGAGCGTTAATACTTTGGGGTCAAAGGGGTTCCTCAGACTTACCCCGCTGGTAGGTGCCGGCCAGCTGCATCCCTAGAGGATGCTGAAGTTCCATGAGCTGCGTGTTAAATCTAAACAAACACCCCGAGGTGGAGCCCCCGGGCTCGTCCCCTGCTACCTGCTCGATGTACCCGCAGTCACCGCGCCCTCTCGGGAAATCCTCTGTTCGTGTGCCACATTGAGGTGCACAACTTGGAAAGTCACCCTTTTTAAAACTTAAAAACTTGAGACCTCACAGATTATAATAGGAAATAATTGCTTCAATCCGATGTGGTTGTGAATGGGCCAGATTGGTTTTTGCTTTGGCAACAGCTATTCAGTTCAGAGTTACATTGCACACAGGGAGTTATTTTCTAAGATAATCTTAAAACAGAATGTCCAAACCCGATTGCTGATCAGAGTGTCAGTACACATAGACCACCTCAGACACCCCCCCAGCTCACGGTCCTCTTCATTGGGTATCGATATGCCATGGCAGACCAAAAGGAACTCATTTTCGTCTTGATTTGGCTTTATATAAGAGCATCTCAGATTGGAACTGTTTTCTACACAAGCATATAGTTAACGTAAACCGTTTTATAAACTCAAATTGCCACCTTCTGAATTAAGAATACATGAAGTCATTTCAGTATCATTCAGTGTATGAAGAATAACATTGCACTAATGTGGACATCACTGCCAGACACGGTCCATTTTTAATTTGTTACTACTTCGGCACAGAGCCCCCCCCATGACTTCCGTTTGGAATTCCTAGAGAAGTGGAGCCCACGCTTCAGTTCCTGACGGCTTTATCCTGTATTATGTCTTTATTGATGGGAAGAGGTACACCTTTGTTTTCTCCACTGAAAACAAACGCGGGTCAATTAATTGCCTCCAATATACATACGTGATTGACTAGCGTAGAGATTCTTGTTTTCAAAAGGAAGGGTCGTACAGATAGCAAACGACAGCGACGGCAATGCACACCTGGAATGTTACTACATGCTGTTACTGAAATACTTGGGGGTTTTGCCTGTCGGATCACAATCACCTCCGTGGGAGGGCCCTCTGCGGTGGTCACCTGCACTACGTCAGGAAGGGGCTGCTGGTTTTGCGTGCTGCGTTCTTTCTGTTGTTTTTTTTTTTAATACCCAGTTTTGTACATACCTGACTGTTCTCTTTGTTTGGAAACTGGATTATTTTTCCTAAGAAGTGCTCACCCTGTGTGTTTTCCGTTCGACCAGTGACAGCTCACAGACGTCCACGCTGTTACATCAGAGCACTTGTCCACTGTCCGTCCGTCCGTCCGCTCTCGTGTACATACGTACGGGCTGGGAACCACGGGGTTAGGCACTTCCGGGCTGTTCTGTTGTGTTTTGTTTTGTTTTTTTTTAACGAGAAAATACTGTATTTAAAATGTAAAATAAACTTTTAAAAAGCAGGCACTAATATATATTTCTTCCAGCCTTTGATTACAGACCTGCCCCCGCACACGTTAAGGTGAATCGTCTCCTGGAAACGCCATTGTTCTCGGGAGCAGTGCGTGTGGCCTCACATAGCTGCGGTTCCGGTCACGTGTCCGTTCAGGACCTTTTGGGTTTCGACTTTTATATTGCCTTTGGCTGTGGATCAGTACAGCTCAAACGCGATTTCAAAGAGATCTTGAAAAATATATATATATATATTTAATCAATTAAAATGTTTATCTGTAACTCGTTGACGTTTCATTGATAAGTTCCTCTCTGAAGCGTTATTTCTGCATCTCACCCCCTGGTAGGACGAGGAGAAACGTTTTAAATGATCTTTTCCGGTTTAAAAAGTTAAGAAAACGAGCACACTCTTTCTGGCTGGTTATTTAAGCTTTGCTGTGGATTAACCTCGTGAGTTAAACAGATGGAAAATGTCCAGGCTCGGTGGTGAGCGCTGGCTTCTGTGAGACGCTTCCCCTGCCCACCTGTGGGTGGCAGGTCCTCGGCGGCCGCTTCAGAAAGAGCTGCTGAGCCTGGCACCGAGGACCGTGCCTACCCAGCTGGCGCATGGGGGCTCAGACGCTGATTGTTTTTTTAAAATATATTTTATTAATTTTTTTACAGAGAAGAGGAGAGAGGGATAGGGAGCTAGAAATGTCGATGAGAGAGAAACATTGACCAGCTGCCTCCTGCGCAACCCCCACTGGGGATGTGCCCGCAACCAAGGTACATGCCCTTGACCGGAATCGAACCTGGGACCCTTCAGTCCGCAGGCCGACGCTCTATCCACTGAGCCAAACCGGTTTCGGCTGATTTTTTTCTTCTTCTTCTGAGATTTGGAGACAGAGGAGGAGGTGGCCTTGGCGTTGGCTGGGCTGGGGACCCTGAAGGCAGACCAGAGAAGCAGGGCTGGGGAGCACATTGTGGAAGCGGGGAAGCCGCCGGTTCAGACCACAGCGATCGATCGCCAGTCACGTCTTGGGGCTCAGCGTGCCACAGTCTGCAGCCAGCGCCAGCTCTGCGGCCGTCCCAGCTTCCGCTCAGTTCAGCCTTCCCGCCAGCAACCTAAGGTGTGCGTGCGTGTCTGTGTGCGGGGAGGCGTCTTCGTCCCTTTACCGACTTCTCAGTGTGAGTGGGACCCGCATGGGGCTCCTCTCGCATAGATGGTCTCAGGGTCCTTCCTCTTCCTTCATGAAGCTCTGAAAAGACCAAGATGCCTGCTGTCCTTTCTAAAACCCTTCTTTTGACTGTGTTGTTACTATTTCTGGTGCTTAGTTGGCTTGGCCTGCTTGTCATGGAGAGGAAAGCACTAGTGGGCCTGCCACTTGTAAGTTGTGATGTCATTGGGGCACTTAACTCTGTGCCAGGAAACCAAGTGGCTGGCTTTCCCAGGTCAGCATTGGCATCGGGACTGGGGCTGTCAGGCATGGGTGGCGAGGGTATAAGTTGGAGCGGTTAACTCATCTCATGGCCAGAACCAAAGCTTCCGGGTCACTGCTAGGTCAGCCCTCCAGTGAATGGCGGCTGCTGGTCCGTTTTTGAAAAGAGCAAATACAAATAAGATCGATTGCGCATGCTGCGTTTTAAAGATCTTTTTCTGACGGCTTGTCTGGACAATTACAACAGTCTCTACTCTTTGCCAAGATTAAATATCTCCAGTTGTAGGTACACACAGCTGGGGGGAGGGGTGCATGACAAGGTACAGAAATGTAAACAGGATTCAGAAGGCGGGTCCAGGCGTCTGCTCTGTTCTTCAAAATGCTGTCTGCGGAGCGGCTCTTTGGCCGGTTTTCTGTTCCTGAACATCTTAGGCTGCTTCTGGGTTGGTTTGTTGTGGGGTTTTCTGTTTTTGTTTGTTTCTAATGATTTTATTGATTTCAGAGAGAGGAAAGGTGAGGGAGGGGGAGGTGGAAACATCCATGAGAAAGAAGCATGGATCGCCTGCCTCCTGCATGCCTCCAGCCTGCCCTCTGGTTTCCTGGGCGCCTCTGGGATCCCCCTCCACCACCACCCCACCCCCCCCCTCCTACCCCCTCCCTCAGCTCCCGCTGCCCCCACCTGTCAGCTATGGGCCCTCCCCGCCCTGCGCCAGGGGAGACGCCCCTGGTTTATGGCTTCCTCTTGTCACCCTCCGGGCAGGCTGAAGGAGGTTGTGTGTGAACCAGGAGGTAGTCAGCAGTATCAGGTCCCCGGATCCGGGAGGGGGAGGCCCCTGGCGTGGCCCCGGACCCCTGGGGACGTGTACGCAGGATTGGGACACGGCGGTTTTTCTCCGCTTGCACCCTGTTCTCGGACTAGCCAGGGGGCCAGTGCCCGCCGCTCGGCCTCTGCACGCCCAGCGCCCCCCGAAGGTGAAGCCGGAGCAGGTGGCTCCCTAAAGGGGGTGGCGTCTCCCCGGAGCCGGAAGCGGGTGAGCAGACTTTGGCACCGGGAGGGGCGAGGTGTGGAGATAAGCTGGCCCTTCCGGCCTGGCTGGGCCGAGCAGACCCCTGCCCCGCTGCCAGGGAGGGCCTGCGGGCACAGAGCACAGGGTGCTGTCCGTGGGCGCGGCGGTCCCGGGCGCCCCCAGGGCTAGGGGGCACCTGGACCAGGGCCTCCGCAGCGCCCAGCGAACATTGCTTGTCACCCGCTCTCCCCGCGTCAGACCAGGAGCCGCACGGCCAGGCTAAGGCCCAGGAGGCCCCGAGGAGGTCATCCCAGACCTGAAAGCGGTGCCGGCGGGCACGGTGTGCGCTGAGGCCTGAGTGATGAGCCAGAACCTTCCGGGAGGGGACAGCATGTGCGAAAGGCCCTCCTCCCCCGCCAGGGGCGCCTGCTGTCTGTGTGTGAAGAAAGATGCCAGTGAGCTGGAGGGGAGCTGGCGGAGCATGAGGCGGAGGACGGAGAAGCAGGGACAAGGCAGGGCCAGGGACGTGGGTTCCAGGCAGGCGCAGCAGAGCAATGGCGGGAAGGCCTCCACCGAGGACTGAGCCCATCTGGCTTCGTCTCAGAAAGATGTGCTGGGCCGAAGCCGGTTTGGCTCAGTGGATAGAGCGTCGGCTTGGGGACTGAAAGGTCCCGGGTTCGATTCCGGTCAAGGGCATGTACCTTGGTTGCGGGCACATCCCCGGTGGGAGGTGTGCAGGAGGCAGCTGATCGATGACTCTCTCATCGATGTTTCTAACTCTCTATCTCTCTCCCTTCCTCTCTGTACAAAATCAATAAAATATATTTTTAAAAAATGCATGGGGGAGGGGAGGGGAGAGGGGGAGAGGGAGGCAGAGGGAAGGCGGCCTCTCCTTGTACAAAAACGTTTTTTAAGACAAAAGGTAAAGGAAACAGCTGTGAGCTGGGGCTGCGGCTGCGGCCCTGCCCGCGCCGCCATCCTCAGCCTCCAGGGGGCGCCGGAGAGACGAAGGCCGCCCGCCCGCGCCCGCAGGTGCAGCCGCTGGTGCAGTAAACACGCCTGCGGGCAGCGAGTGCCCCGCTCCCTCCGCCCCTCCTCACCCGCTGCGGGGCCACGCCCCAGCCCTTGGGACCCCACTGGACCCCTGGAGCCTTACCCAGCCCTCAGACTGCCCTCCTTCTCCCCGGCTGGACCCTTCGGGCTCCTGCCAGGCCCAGAGAAGCCCCCTCCCGTCTCCCCAGCCCTCTCTGCTCAGCCGAAAACGCAACACAAATGGGGCATTTATTTGTTTATTCATGGAGCACCTACCGGGTGCCAGCTTCTGCAGAACCGCGGAGGGGCGCCCCTGTCTCCCTCCCTAGGACACCCCCACCCCTGGACCCGCCACCTCCTGCTGCTCCCGGGGGCGCTGTGGCTGCCCCGCCCCCGCCCTGGGCCGGATGGCGAGGCACCGGGGCCCCCCGATCCTCCGCCGGGGTGGCCGCTGACCCCCCCCCAAGGTAGGTGGGTGCCTGGGGCCTGCGCCGCAGCGAATACGCTTTCTGTTCCGATCCCGCCGCCAGAGGGCGCCTCTGACCGGCCTCCGCAGAGAAAGGCGGCGCTTAGGACGCGGGGTGCTGTGTCCCCCGCGGGGACCCGCGGGTGGAGGGGCCCGGGGAGGCCCGGGGAGGCCCGGGCGGAGGGGCGCGCTCTGGGCGGGGTCCAGGCTGCGCCGGGGACCCGGACGAGGGTGCCCCCCGCTGGACCCGCACCCCGCGGCCCTGCGGAGCCGCCGCGGCCTCGGGCAGGGCGTCGCCCGCGGACAAAGGGGGGCGGGCGCGGGGCGGGGCGGGGCTCCGCGGCTCCTCCCCGCCGCCCCCTCCATCCGCACCCCCGCGCCCCGCGCGCCAGGGTGGGGCCCCGCGGCCGCGGCGACAACAGCCACCGCTTCCTCCCCGCGCGGTTCCGGCGCTGCCCCCGCGGGTCTGGGGGGGGTGGGGAGGCAGAGTGAGGGCGCTTCTCCCTCGCTGAGCCATCGCGGCGCCCCGATCGATCGTATTGATTTTACAGGAGGCCGGCTCCGCTCCTGCTTTTCTGCAGGAAAGCACCGGGGCGCCGCGCCCCCGGCCTCTGCGCGCGGCGGCCACCAGAGGGCGCGCGTCCCCTCGGCCTCCGGCTCCCCGGCCGCGGGCACCGGCGGTGAACCCAGCTGAGCCGCTGCGTGACCCGGGGCAGGTGGCAGGTGCCAGCCCTCTCTGTGCCCCTGTGCGCGGGGAGGGCACACTGCTTGGCACACGACGCGATGCTGAGGCTCCGGGCACAGGGCCAGCCTGCAAAGGGCCTGATGACAGTGTCTTTTTTTATATATATAATATATTTTATTGATTTTTTTACAGAGAGGAAGAGGGAGGGATAGAGAGCTAGAAACATCCATGAGAGTCATCGACCAGCTGCCTCCTGCACACCTCCTACTGGGGATGTGCCCGCAACCAAGGTACATGCCCTTGACCGGAATCGAACCTGGGACCTTTCAGTCCGCAGGCCGACGCTCTATCCACTGAGCCAAACCGGTTAGGGCAGTCCTTATTATTGATTTCAGAGAGGAAGAGAGAAGGGGAGAGAGAAACATCAATGATGAGAATCATGGATTGGCCCCCTGCACGCCCCCCACTGGAGACCAAGCCTGCAACCCGGGCCTGTGCCCTGATCATGGATCTAACCGTGACCTCCTGCCTGGTTCATAGGTCAACACTCACTCAAACAAACCACTGAGCAACACCAGGCGGGCCCTAAGGTCCTTTTTAGTTATGCCTGGAAGTGGTGCCATGGTTCCATTGAATAGAAATGGCTGCTGGGCCCTCCTTCCTTTTCCTGCCTC